CTAGATTAAACTTACTCATATGCAATTTTGATTCCTGCTTTTAGTTTGCTTGCTTTTTTTCTTTTCTTTTATTTTGATGTTGTTGTTGCTTCTCTATTGTAGGCTGATCTTTCGAGAAGGATATTGAAGTTGTGAATGCAGGCTGATCTTTCGAGAAGGATATTTAAGTGCAATCTTATTCTTCCTCTTCATTCAGCTTATTGGTCTCGTGTAACTTTCTCATATGCAATATTTTCTTTGTTTTCTTTGTGGTCTACGCCGTTTTGATTCATGCTATTACTATGCTTGCATTTTTTTTTTTGATGTTGTTGTTGCTTTTCTATTGTAGGCTGTTCTTCTGAAAAAGATACTGAAGTTGTGAACGCATTCTTCTTTTCATTCCGCTTATCGGTTTCGTGGAAGTGTCGTTAGCCGCACTTTTTAGGTTAGTTCGTATGACCTTTTGATTTCAAAGGTCTTGATTTAACCTAAACTTATTTTGAAATCGGACATGTGCAATATTTTTTTTTGTTTTCTTCGTAGTTTACGCCGCTTTGACGTCTTACTTTTTCTATTTTTGCTTATCGTTTTTGGTTTGATGTTGTGTTTTTTCTATTGTAGGTTGATCTGCTGAAAAGGATATTGAATTTGTGTACTTTTCCGTTATAGTTCATTGCTAATTGAGTAGTTTTGCACCTTTCTCTTCGTGATTTATTTTTAGTTTTTATGTTCACTTAGTGATTGATGGAAGGTTTATTCATGGTTATGATCTTATATGATTATTTCTCTGTTTTTTGACAGATTTAAACGCCTATTCACTTCTGACAAGGTATGTGCTTCGTTTGAAACAGGTTTGTGCTTTTGTCTGTTTTGATTCCGTTTGGTTGTCTCTTTGGTGACTTTTTGATGGTTTTTCATTTAATTCTCATCTTTCTTATCTTGATTTTTTGCAGGTTTTAGGTGTTCGTGTCCTGTTTCGGAGAGGGTTGCTTTAGTGTTCTTAAATAGTGGCAAGAGGTAGAGATTTTCATGGTTATATTTTTTTGTTACACTGATTTTGTTCGTTTGTTGCCCTAATATTGGTTGTTTAGCTATTATCAGGGTTATATGTCATTGCCTCTCTTTTATAAGTTTTAGTATTTTGTTTTTACTGCAGCAATATATAACTCAAATCAAGACATTTGTGTTTGTATCGTTCTTATTATTTTTGGATCATGTGGCATTGTTTATCATCTTTCCCTTTTGTCATCACTGTTTGTGACACTCTGTTCTGTTTTGCATCTTTTTCCCTGACAGATCTTTTGGCACTCTCGGGGATCCTGGTGCTGCGGTAATATGTCGTGTGGTTTTTGCTTCGTGTTGCATCTTCTTGACCCACTGTCTGAAGAGCTCTATTTCTATCTTCCACCGCAAGTTTCTTGGTTTCTTTTATCTTATGTTGTTCCTTGAGCTATTTTTGAGTTCTCTTCCGTGCACTTGCTAATAACTTTCTTCTTTTCTTCCATCGCAAATTACTCAATTTCTTTTCTCTTATGTTGTTGCTGAATTGTTTTTGAATTCTCTTATGTGTCCTTGCGAAGAACTTTCTTCTTTTCTTCCACCACAAGTTTCTCGATAATTTTTCTCTTTTATATGTTGTTCCTGAGCTGCTGTTGAATTTTCTTTCATGTCCTAAGGACTTTTTTCTTTTCCTACTGCAAGTTTCTCGATTTCTTTTCTCTTCTGCTGTTCCTGAGCTTTTTTTGAATTCCTTTCTATCACCGCAACTTTATCTACCTCAGTATTTTTCCTTTGTGTCTGAGCTTCTACTGCTTCTTTTCGTTCGGAACGAGCAACCATAGGTTTTTCTATTACCGGATTGATATTCTCGCCAGCTTCTTTTTCAATTCCTATTGATATTTTATTTTTCATCCCCACCTTTTGCTCCTCTGCCCTCAGAGACTCAGGTATCTTTAGAGGAGAACTAGATTGATTACTTTGTTTCGCCAGCCGATCTGGCGTGACAGCACTTCGTGAAGGAAACTGAGACGCAGACAAAGAAGCTGTAATGGCTGCAACATTTCTTTTAGGCTTGGTTTCTGATGACATGGATGGCTGCAGGACGAAAAGGAGGGCGTGAAGGAGAAGTAAGTGGTGGTGATCGCGAAGAAGTCCCTCAAGAGAGACGAGAAGGGGAGCCGTAGGAGAAGAAAGGAATGTTAAAACGGAAAAGAGGCATGATGATATGGGAAAGGGATGTCAAAATGGATAAATGGTAAAGAGTAAAGTTTTTGTGTGTTTGTATACATATATGTGTTGTTTTGGTGTTTAAAGAGGAAAATATAACTTTTCAGGCAGGGAAAGTAAAGTATTTGTTTTCTCTAGTGAAGTTATCTTTCGAATCTCTGTTCAGTTGATACTTTTGCTCCTTAGCTTAACAGAAAACTTGATGAAGAGTGAACCCAAGTTTGAATTTTTTTTTTCTTTTCAAAGAGAGTCTTCTTGAAGCAGTTGTTTAAGAGATTAAACATGCTATTGCAGAAAAAAACTACAGTTTAATGCAGAAGAAATATTAACATAGTAAAGTTTTTCATAACTGTTCAAAATTTATCGTTCAAGTGAAAAATCAATTCTGTAATTGCTAATCAGTGTATCATACCAAGGAGACTTAGTTCCCAAGGCAAATGAGAATAGCCAAAACTTTCACGTTCCTTCGTGGTTGCTAGAGATTTTTGCAGCGGATACTATTACAATGTATGAACGATTAAAAATATGTCCTTCCTTCTTTGGCTAATCTATTACATGATATCAATGTATTGTATAAGTTTCTACAAAAAGTATTTTAATTTGCATGATGATATTTTTTTTAAATGTGTTTATAGTTACTTGGACTCACAAAACTTGATAGACCAGTGTTCGAGATTAAAGATGTGGTAATTTTTGGCATCGTGAAAGTCTAAAGTTGCATAACAATAGAAAATTTTTGTTGGAAAACACAAGAACACTATATGGTTTGTACCATTGGGATTTTATCTTAATATATCAACTTTTAAAAGCTATGTACCAATATGTTGGAGCCATTTTAAATAAAAGAAAATAAGGAACGTTAGCCTAAACATTTCTATAACAAAGGTGTAATCAAGTCTAGAGGTAGTATAGGATAATAATGAGGTCACAAAAACTCCCTTAATCTTCAAGAGAGTGTTATGATTATTGTGGCCGTATTTTTCTAAATCTTTTCTGCTTATTGAATGCTTATCTACCTAACTGGATTTCCATATTTTAGAAACATGCACACTCCCATGGTGTAATTAAGTTTTGTATGCGAGTACGATTTCCAATTAACAGGGAACAACTATAAGCATGCATATTTTAGACGCGAGTACGATTTCCGACATTGATCGGCCATTAAACATCAAAAGTGAGGATTCACTACCACTATTATTTTGATTTCTCACATAATGTTTTCATTTGTATGTATTATGTCTTTTACTTAAAAGCTTCTCAGGGACCAAGATACCATGAGCCATGGTCATTAGGTGATCTAATTGATTTTGAATATCTTTCCGTTAAATCTTCCTCTTAATCAAACATTGGTTTTTATGCCTTTTAACTGATTATTATTCTGCTTATGAATGATGATAGTTTTTTTTTTAATTAGTGATGATTTCAGAGATTTGTTCGTATCTTGGAAATTTTTGACTATGTATCTTTGTTATTCTTATTTGTTGTTTTTATGTGTTTTTGATAGGTCTGCTTTAAGGAGGTGTAGTATAAATGTTGACCTTCCTTCTGGATGCTTATTATATAAATCTCTATATGTTGGATTTATCACCAAATGTTGATGAACTGTAAGTTAAGTTTAATTAATCACTGCATGTTTTGGATATTATTGGAAATTTTTGTTCTTGGAATTCTTCTCCATCTTTATCTTTGGTCTCTTTGTTACACAGATAGGTCGATCGGGTTCTGTTTGTTTCGACTTGATAAATCAGACTTGGAGTCCTATAACTCGATCTCTCTGTTTATTTCATGTTTAATACATAAAACATGTTCCGTTTGAGAGAGTTATAATGTGCAAATTATTGGATTATCCATTGTGTATTTAGCTTGAGCTTTTTCTTGAGCAAAAGCTGAACGATGATGAAGAGTATGTGAAACTTGCAATGCAGACGCATGTGTGGAACAAGCAAGAGGTCTATATATGTAGGTGCAAGCAATGGTCCTCTTGTGGATAACAGTATCTTGATAAGTGGTTGCCAAACTGATCAAACTTCTGCAGATGTGAGTCCTCCGGGTAAACCTGAAATGGTTTATGGAGCATTCAACAATGCTGTACAGATCATACTTGGGGAGACAAAGGGTACAATTACATACAAAGAATTATATTGAAGGCAAAAAAGCTCCTTAAGAAACAAGGTTTTGCTCAACGACCAGGGATGTACTGTAACGATAGTTATGTGAATGCTTCTTTTATTTGTCGAGAATTGCATGTTGTTTGTAGTTTTCTCAAAAGTATTGAATTGTTTGATGTTTGTCAAGTGTTCTTTGTCAATTGCCCGTTAGTTATGGCAAATGTTCTTCTAATTGGCTATGATCTTATCATACCTCTCCTAGTTGTCCACTTGTGACGTGTTTTGATCGAACGTGGTACATATATTTTCTCAATCTTCCCAATATAATTTAGCTAATAAACAATAGTAACTATATAAATTATAGTAAATGCTACTATTTCTGCCAATTTGTAATATTTCCTCAATCTTCCCTACATAATTTAGCTAATAATAAACAATAATATCTATATATATTATATAAATGCTATGTTTTCCAGATTTATGAATGAGTTACTCAGAATTAAAATTTTCTTTTTTTTCTTTTTTGAAAAAATGTTAAATTTATTTCAAAAAAATGCTGTTTTCTTTACAAGATCAGTCCAAAGGGAAAGGGATGTAAAGAAATAAATCTACAAGCTATAACGACAAGGTGTTAGGAAACAGAGCAAAGCTCTTTTGTTTTTAAAACCAGAGGAAAGTTCACTGTGCTTATGGCGGTAGTCTCGATCCAAACCAGAGCTCGAGACCATCTCTATATCTGTAGTCGCCTTCCATATGCAGGGAGCTCAGGCGATTTCTGATTACTCTATCTAGCTTGGAGATTAAAACTGCAGCAGGAGTCGGAATTCCTCCATGGCGTCGTGCATTCCTCTCTCGCCATATGAAGGTCAGCGGTGCTTGGAATGTATATCTCGCAAGAAACAGCTCTGTACGACTGAGATTCCTCAAAACAAGCAAATTCACTAAATCTGTCCAGACATATGTATAGTTCCTGTGAAGTAATCCCTGCACCAGCTTGCTCCAGATCAGCTTCGAGTAATCGCAATCGAAAAAAAGGTGTGGTATGGTTTCCATCGGATCCCCACAAAAGATACAAGCAGATGATATTCCTTGACCCCACTGTACCTTACACTCCCCAGTAGATAGTCGATTTCGCATTGCTAACCAGGTGATGAATGCGAATTTCGGTGTGGCATTTTGGAACCATACGAGATAGCTCCAAGCCTTCCTAGTTCCCTCTACTCTGATGTTATTCCAGGTATGTTTGGAGATAAACCGAGAAGAGTAGGCATCCTTTCTTCCACGCCAGAGAGCTTGATCCTCTCGCAGTTTCCTTTTAGCCTTAGACTCTGCAACCTCATCTTCTATCTGGTTCAAAATGATGGTACGGTGACGTTTCCATCGATGTATCCTCCAAACATCAGCCAAAGTTGACTGCGATGGAACACCAAAACGAAGGCAGCCCTGCATCCCTACAGCATCGGTTAGTCGACCCATGGAGCACCAGTTATCGTGCCAAAACGCCGTTGTCTCACCGTTGTTAACCTCTATAGCGTGAAAATCTTTAGCCAAATCCCTCATTTTAAGCATTCGCTTCCAAATCCATGAGGCCTGAGCCGAAGATTGCAGAGACTAGAAAGATTTACCCTTAAGCAGCTCTGTTTTTATCCACATCGTCCAAAGATAGGTGGTAGACAGTAGCCGCCAAATGAGTTTGAGACAGCTTACTGTATTAACCTCACACAAAGATCTAAGACCCAGTCCCCCTTCAATTTTCGGTTTGCACACATCAACCCAACAGACCTTTGCTTTCCGATGACTGAGCGTAGGACCCGACCAAAGGAATGCACTGCATAGCGATTCCACCTCCTTGATGCAGCTCCGCGGAAGGTAAAAAGCACTCATCCAGAAGTTCGTTAAACCCGATATAACAGAGACGAGCAACTGTAATCTTCCCGCAAATGATATATGCCGCACCGTCCAAGAACCAAAACAACGTCTAATCCTCTCAACCAACGGTGCGTAATCAGCTCGAGTCATCTTTTTCGTCATCAAAGGTAACCCAAGATATCGAACTGGCAGCTCTCCCAAACCAAATTGGAAATGATTGATAATAGAGGCACAGGTGGTTTCAGGTACACCAGACATGAAAATTGTAGACTTCTCCAGACTTATGCGCAATCCCGAAAACCTTGCGAACCGCTCAAAAACATCAACAATCCCTTCCACTGATCTCTCCTTCCCATCCAAAAAAACCATGATATCGCCTGCAAAGCACAAATGTGTTAGTTTCAGAGTGGAGCATCTCGTATGATAACCAAAACGATTTTCCGCAGCTGCCTAATCAAGCATTTTTGACAAAACATTCATTCAAATCACAAACAGGTATGGAGAGAGAGCACAACCCTGCCTCAACCCTCTGTTGCTCTGAAAATACCCCACCAGCTCACCATTAACTTGCACTGAGAAAGATGCCGTCGAAATACACAGACTGATCCATTGAATGAATTTTTCTGGGATTCCCATGGCTCGAAGAGTATTAAGTAAAAAGCTCCATTGTACCGAGTCAAACACCTTAGCAATATCAATCATCATAGAGCAGCGAGGCGGACCAGTGCTTTTATGATAATCCTGCACAATCTCCGAGGCAAGCAAAACATTCTCAACTATTTATCTGTCTTTTACAAAGGCATACTGATTCGCAGCAATTATACTTGGGAGTATGTCTTTTAATCGATTCGAAAGCACTTTTGAGATAATCTTATATAAGACATTGCAACATGAGATGGGCCTGTAATCTTTCATCGTTTGAGCATCATTCTTTTTCGGTATTAATGCCAAAATAGTTGAGTTTACTCCCTTTGGCAAAAACCCCAATCTAAAGAAGGATTTGACCGCGATCACTACATCATTCCCCACGATACTCCAAGAACTCTTGAAGAACTCCGTTGTGAATCCATCTCGCCCCGGCGACTTGTTGTTTGGCATTTTGAATAACACCTGCCTAACCTCTGCTTCGGAAACATCCCTTATTAACTGCTCATTTTGAGACAAACTGCATCTAACATCCAGGAGATTTTCCAGGTCCTCCACCTCCACTCATCGAAAATCATCTGGAGTATTAGTGAGAAAGTCTTGAAAGTAGCGTACAGCCTCTGCTTTGATATCTGCTGGTTCTTTTAAATTTGCTCCATCTTTATCAATGATCTCCTTAATCAGGTTTTGGGATTCTCTAATGCACACTGCACGAAAAAAGATCTTATTACTCTTGTCTCCAACATTCATCCAGTGCAGTTTAGATTTTTGCTTGAGATAAGCTTCTTCCAACTCATATAAGTGTTCCCATTTCGACAACGCAGCGGATTCCTCTGCTAAACCCTCCGAAGTGGGATTCACTGCATTATCCTCTTGTTTTACGCAAAGATCGTCAAAGGCTTCTTTTGTTCGCTTAGATAAGTCGCCAAACCTATTCTTTAAGGCCTTTTAATTTCTTCGTAAGCCTAAACATAGCTGAAGTCGAATGATACAGGGCTTGCGAATTCCCCCAGTACTCCTCCATCGCTGGCAAGAATTCTGGCATCTTTGTAAGAGCGTTGAGAAATCTAAAAGGCCTCTTGATCCTCTGTTCTTTGCAAGACAAATAAAATCTCCCTCGAAGATGATCCGAGATACCCCCTGCTTCGAAAACGGAGTATGAATAGGGGTGGTTGAGAAGCCACACTTCATTGACTAAAACTCGATCCAGTTTTTTGTGTATCAGTCCCTCTTGCCTCTTATTGCACCATGTGAACCATGGACCATGGTAACCCATGTCTATCAAGTTGCATTGCCTGATTGTTTCACGAAAATCTCTTGATCCCGTCGTATCTGTAGCAGACGCACAGCCCAGGGAGTGGTCCTCACTGGCTAACACCTCATTGAAATCCCCACAAATCACCCACCTCTTATTCTTACATACTGCAGAGTGCAGACCCTGAATTTCTTTCCACAAACTCGCCCTCTCTGATTCCAGGTTAAACGCATAGACAGCACTACAAACAATTTCTTCATCCTGCTCCTCTACCTTCAACATAACAGAAATCATTTGCGCTTCTTGTGAATCACAGTCACCTTCACATCTTTACTCCACACAAACCAAATCCGGCCTAGCCGATTGTATTCATAATTGGAGACAAACGACCAGCCCGGGAACACAGAAGAAACAATCTTTTGGCTCTTACATTCTGTCACACGAGTCTCCAAAATGCAGCCAAATCCAAATCCATTTCCCTTAACCCAATCTCTTACAACTGTATGTTTTGAAAATTTGTTAAAACCTCGTATATTCCAAAAAAATCCACTCATTATTGAGATGTTTATTTGGAGTTCCGCTTCCCTCTCTTCCCCACTGATGTCTGACCTGGATTTAGTCTTGGATCAGCTGGAGTAGCAAGGTATCTATGAGCAGACTTGGCAGCTCGCGTGAGTGTTGGTCGATGACTCTCTACTGGAGCTTCTGCATTCAATGCTTCAGCCCCATTACTTTGCATTTCCCCTGCAACCTTGTTGTCACACACCCTAAGAATATCACCAGCCGCGACTACAGTTTCCCCTTCAATCTCAGAAGGAATCTCACCCTCCTCCTCCTCCATCTCCAACAATGCCGAGTATCGAGAGCCTGATGAGGTAGTCTCTACTGCAGCAGTCGTTTATTTTGGACTTCGAGAGGTCTTTTGTGGCGATTGCCACTCGTTTTCCTTTGCAGTCTCCGTAGAGCGAGACCCTCAGTCATACCAATCTGGGGCAAGCTACTCGTCACCTCCAAAATAACAGCAGAGTCCTTACGGTTGCTGTTGTTCTTCTTCTTGGACATAGATGATAAGAGAGTACTCATCGCCTTCTCTACCCTTACAGAGTCTGCATTCGTATCTTGTACGGCCTTTTGCTGGCCAGCTTCCACTGCTTGACAAACCCCACCTCCTGTGGCGACATCTACTGGTCGCTTCAAAAAATTTTTGGGACTCTGTTTTGCTCAACACTCCTCACCAACATGTCCCCATCCTCCGCAAAGAGAGCAAAACGGTGGCAACCATGGGAACTCATACTCAATGTCAACCGGCGAACCCTCCATATTAAAACAGTGAGAACCCGGCAGTGACTTGATTAGATCCACTTCCACCAGAATTCGAGCAACATCAAACTGTTTTACCCAGAGAGTATCCGGGTGCAACTGTTTCGGTGTGCCTACTGGACTAGCCAGAAAACTAAGACCTTTCCAATGATACATCTTTTGTGGGACTCCCTTCAAAACAACCCATAACGTTATTGATTGCAATACCGGCTGTGCCTCTTCCTCAACTGGACTCCATCGGGAGACAATCATCGGTGTATCTTTTATGTTCCACATCTTCCTTCTAAGTACTCTTTCTCTCATGCTTCGATCTTTGATCCTGAATTTGACAATAGTAGCATTGACGACGAAAACATCGATCTTGCTCTGCTTATCACCCGAGGACCAAATCTTGTTCACAATCATATGGATCGATCCCACATGTGGTGCTGTTTTGAGAAACTTTCCCACAATGCAATCAGACCACAACGGAGCTTCATTCAGTAGGGATTCCGGAACTCGGAAAGCCTTAACGCCCTCTATTTCCTCCTCCTCCAATTCAAACCTCTGCAAAATCTCTGTTTTGCGAACAGCATCAGACCACGATTTGGCATGCTTCGCAACTGTCTTAGCCACTTCATCTTCCTTCTCCGATCTACTTTTGCCACCTAAAGAGATGAGCGAGATCACTCGATCCTCCTGAGCGATGACCTCTACAGACTGCGATGCTCCGATCACAGCCCCCTTATCCAAAGCTCCTCCATCAGCTACCTCCAAACCCACAGCACCTTCAATCACCAAACCCTCCGACTCCAGACCCCCCAACGTCAATTTTCCTTCGAGACTCTGCTGCTTTCCTTCCTGCATAGATGATCATCCCTCCGCCTGGCCCTTCTCCGACGACATCGGCACCGACGGAAGCCGCCGGCGTCAAAACGTGAAAGGGAAGAAACAAAAACCCTAGATCGCCTCTCTAATCGCCAAATCGCCCTCTTGCCACGTCAGCTTCCTTTTTTGTCTTATATTATAGTCAAGTGCTTGTCAGAATTAAAATTTTCTAAAATCACTAGATTAGATATTACAATTTTTTTTTTTAATCCATATATTTATTTCATTACTATATACAAGATCCTTGAAAAGAGTTTCTTTTTCAACGTTGCTAAGATTTTTGTTTCCAGATTACTTTGTACCGAGAGCATGTGTGTGGTGAATACTGCTGAATTAATTGTGATTTTACTCAATTAAATGTGAACTTTCTAGATCATATGTTGAAGTTGTGTATGGTGGAGTGCAGGATGAGAAAAAGAAGAACGAATAGGAACATGAAGAGTACAAAAAGAGCACATGAAATAGACAAGAATAAATATGTAAATTTTTATTTATTTCAATAACTATTAAGATTATTCAATATAAATTTATATATGTATAAATCAAAGTTAGCATACCCGATTTAATTCACAAAATTTAATTACTTTTATTTTTAGTATATTTCATTGATATTATTCAATATGAATTACATGAAGGAGGGGTTATTGAGAGTTAGATTTATGAAGATTTTAGTTGATTTTAAAAATCATGAGATTTGTCAAATTTTTAAGAGTTTTGTTGGATTTATAAAATTTAGAGAGAGTTCTATGGATTTAAACAATCTATTAAAAATTTTTTAATATGACAGATTTTGAGAATCCAAGGGATATAGGTAGTATTTTGAGAATCATGATTTATGAATTAAATTATAAAGAATCATTATGCCAATAACACTAGATTATAACAGAATCATAGAATCATTAAAATGCAGACTTTTTGAATAACAATGGATTTTGATTAGATTATAAAAATCATCATATCAATAACAACTGATTTTTATAATCTCTAAATGAATAACAGAGGAATCTATTAAGAATGTAAAAATCCACAAACCAATAACTATAGAATCTTAAACTCTAAAAATCTTTATAAATCAACTCTCCAATAACACCCCCGAAAAGATAGTATAATAGGTTTCATTCCAGTTTTTTTGTACTATAAAATAACTCAAAACTCGATTAACTGTCGTCTCTTTTGTTTTTGACATCTATTTTAATAAAATAATATAGTATTATGAAAAAGCGTAAAAAATAGCAATAAGTCAAGTTTTTAGTTGTGTATTAACGTAGAATAAAAATAAAAATTGAGTATGTGTAAAAAGAAGATTTTTTAAAGAATATCTATACTATTAAAATCGGGTTCAGAATAAGCAACGGAGGCCTCTCATTGAGTTTCAACTGGTTAATTACCTCTTACCCCTTAATGAGAATAATTAATTTTGAATATATTAACCAAATTTTTTTAAAGAAACTCGCGGAAATCAATATCGTAAGCCCATACAAATATTCACGGCCCATATTTTACGTGATCTAAACGAAATCTACCGACCTAAACCCTAATCTTAAACACCTATATAAATAAGTCTCATACGTTCATTCTTTCAAAACGTTTTAGATAAACCCTAGGTCAAATATTGCTTGATTTGATTTGCGTTTATATATTGCTTGCTTTTTCTTTGGAATAATTTTGATGTTGTTATTGCTTTCTATTGTAGGCAGATCTTTTGAGGACGATATTGGATCTAAGAGCGCACGCTGATCTTTTGAGAACGATATTGAAGTGTTATTTAATTCTTCCTCTTCGATTATCTCGTGTAAGTTCTGTTAGCCGCATGTTTTATATTATTTCGTTTTGGTTTTTGATTTCAAATTTTTTTATGTTTGCTTTTCTTTTTTCTTTTGGTTTTGTGGGTTTCATATTGTAGGTTCATCCGCTTGAGAGGATATTGAATTTGTGTACCCAATCACACATTCATCCTTTTCATTCATCGTATCGGTTTCGTGTAAGTGTATTTATACGATCTTTTTATGTTGTTTCGTATAACCCTTATTGGTTTACAGTCTCTAGCTTAAAACTAACACTATGTTGCTTTTTGTCCGATCACTATTGTTTTTTGTTATTTTAGGACGGCCTGCTTATACACGTTCAGAACTCCTATAGGTATACTTACTTATCTCTTAACTTAATCGTTTCTATTATGATCTTTTAGGCTATAATTTAATGTATTTTTCTTTATATGTACTTCTTATAGTGTTTCTTGTATTTCTTTGTTGGTTGATTCTTATATTTAAATTTTTGTATGTTTTTTTTTAATTTGCCATATTGTACTTGCTGATCTCTTGACTCTGTGCTTTTCAGGATACTCTTAGCCAGTGTTTCATCGTATATAATTTTCTTGGAATATGTCTTCGGCTGGTATTTGTTATTTATCAGCACCTATCTTAAGCTTTCATATTTTTATTGGTTAAAACGTTTAATCGTTTATATTTGATATGTATATTATTAACATTGATTAGGGGTTCCATTCCTACCTGTGCACCTCCCTCCACCGTCGCAATCGTTCTCAGATGATGAGGAAACGTCTGGTTTGGGCAAGAAGAGTAAACTGGAAGCTTGGATGGAATGTAATCGTCTTCATCCTGAAGCAAGGGAATTGACGTATCCTCAATTCCCTTTGGAATGGGTTTGGGATCGTAAACAATCAAAATGGAGGCGCCGTTTATCTCAAACTTCTCAAGTCTTTCTCTTGCAGTGTTGTCCATTGTCATCTGGTGAACTTTATTACTTAAGACTTTTGTTGAAGGTGAGAAGAGGAGCGTTTTGTTTTTCTGATCTTAGGACCGTCAACGGTGTTCAATATTCAACATTCAAAGATGCTTGCTACGCTATAGGATTGGTATCCGAAGACGATGATGAGTTTATTGCTGGATTTTATGAAGCGAGTAAATGGTCCTCTTCGCATGCTTTGCGTGTGTTGTTTAGGATTCTTCTCAGGGCAAAGGCATTAGCGAATCCTGTGCATGTTTGGAACTGCGTCAAGCACTTGATCTTTCCCTCTGCCGATTCTTGAATATCCATTATATGTTCTGTTTCTGATAATGTTTTAGATACCTTTTTAATATATTCAACAGAACCTTTTATTTGGTGTTATGGATTCGTTAGTTTTTTATATGTTTTGATTTGCCTTTCATGTTATTCGTCACGACCTTATATTCGCTATTATTTTCTTGTGAATGTTCTTCTCGGTTTTGGCTATATAATATGAATTAGATTATTATCATATTTTGAGTTTTTTATATATGTGTTTTTGTGTATTATCGAATATTTTTAATGTAATGTGGATCCCGTGCTCATCATATTCGTTCTATATATTCATGAATTGGTCTACATATTCACACCATTATCCATACAAGTATTGTTTACAATTATTTTTTAGAAAGATAAAAACGACTTGTCTCATTCACATAGCAATAGAACTGCAAAGATGCTTTGTGTGCTTACAAAGTAATTGATATTTTTAATACAAAGTAATTGATATTCTAGATGATCCTTGAAATGCTAATAGACTGTTCATATTGTTTTAAGGTAATTAAATAGATCAATCCGGAAATAATTTTTAAAAAATGTTTAATTTACGTATATAAAAAAATGGAACTTTCACCAAAATAGGAAAAC